AACAAGACAAACGAAAAGGCAAGAAAAGAAGAGAAAGGTGCAAGGGGGTGCGGGGGTGTGGGCTGGCGGGGAAAGCCTGGCGAATTCTCGTACATGGGGTGTGCACTGGCCCGAAGGCACCGGCAAAAGAAGCCGTCATCGGCGCAAAAAACCTCAGTTACACCTAAAAGCTTCTAGAAAACGAAAAAGACCTAGAAAACGAAACGCAACAACAGGAAAGAAAACCAAAAAGACATGTGAATACTTAGCCGCATGACATGGCATGGACATGTGAATACTTAGCCGCATGAGAAAACGCAGAGTTCCGTGCTGGAGTTTTGGTCTCAGCAAGCCCTGCGGCGTGTATAGTCAGCTGTTTCGAGCGGAGCAGTGGATCATGTAGGGGTCTCGAGAAAAGGTTCAGGCGAGGGACGAAGGATCAGGAAGGATCACCCTTAAGGGCATCTGCACATGCTGCGCCCCTGGATGGGGATCACACCACAGACCTCAGTGGGACCCTGTGGCGATACACACTTAGATTGATGCTCGCAAGAGCTAGATCAGTTGCGGCAATCCACTCTATAGTGATTACATTACCGGTGCATTAGACCTTGACTTGCGTAAACGAAAGAATGCTGTAACAGAATGGCGGCTGAGTCAGCGGAGTTGAAAGTGTTTGAACAATGTGCTTTCAATCAAGTGCAGCTGCGATGGCAAAAACAGCGCGGCTGCAGTCAGCTGGGGTAGGTTTGGGGGGATATCATGCAACGACCATGGAACCAACAAAAAACACGGGAAGAATGGAGTCTGTGTGTTCAGTGCAGGTACACAGTGGAGCGTCCTCCACCGCTTCAACACCGACTGGCACCCTCTTCGTTGGACGGGCAGTGCCAGTGGTGTCCCGTCCCCCTCCTTGGAACGAGTTGTTCCACCGGTGGTGAGTTATTTAATGCAGGTTCCTTAGAAACAGGTGTGGACACACACACACACACTCTTGCCTTGCACGGGACATCAGCACCAAGCTTCTTTTGCTGCTTTCTATGATTCTACTCGCTCCTCTTCGGACCGTCAGCCGGTCAGGGGTTCCTTGCATCACCTCTTCGAATCGCTGGAGCGAACAGCACGAGGCCCTCTCGGCACGTTCGCCGCGCGAAGCGGGCGTCTCCAGAACGGACAGAAGCGGAGGGAACACCTTCCACTGAAGTCATTTGGGTTCCTGATAGACTGACCACAAGAGCGAAGGACTAGTGAGTTTCTTGTTGCATTTGAATTGAGAGTCCGACGAGAGTTCCAAGTAATTTGGTCAATGTGACTTGGTTGCTGTTCTTTGGCAATCAAGAGAAAACATATTAAAAACTGGTAGGTTGTCTTCAGATCTTCGGATATCTTCGACATTCCAAGGACATCTCAGACACTGATCGGTGCCTCTGTGAGGAACGAATCGGCCCACACACTGGCCGAAGCGGGTGCTGTGCATGTTTCCTGTAACCCGAATGCCGGCTCACGAGCTTTGTCCGGAAGTTGTTACTGAGAGGAAACTGGGTTCCTTGATACTGGGTGGGTCGTACCATGTTTCTCATAGAAGGGCCCAACAAAGCAAAATATGACAGGGAATGCCAGATGGAATGATTGGAATGAATTGAAGTTCATGAAGAGTTCCAAAAGATCTCGCCTTACCAAAGTTCAGCAACCCTTGTGCCTTGTGAGGCTTAGACATAGACATCATGTACACGTCATTAATACGAACAATCTTAAAACATAACGTGTTGATGTACCTGGACCATGCCCCGCAGGCGGCCATACCGCCCGTAGGTCTGTTGAAGTCTCAAGACCACGCCTCCTGACTTCGCTGGCAGGAAAGTACATCTTGAGACTGTTTGATGGTGCACATCAACGATGGCAAAGGACTTTTGAAAGCGGTATGAACACACACACACGCGCCTGCAAGAATTCTGCTTGATTCTGATCACCATCACCGGGAATGGCACGGACTGACCAGTGTTAAAGGAACTGTCGGGACATTCGGGGGCCATGTTCCGGCCATGAAAACTGAAGTTTTAGGACACTGAAAGGTGAGAGATCCTGCGGACACTGAAAGGTCGATTTGGAAGTTAGTTCGGCTTCAAACTCCAGACACCCAAAGGGTCAAAGATCTTTGGCGCAAACCTCTTGCACGATCCCAATGTGTCTTTTCTGCTGGGATTTGATCAAGTGGCTTTCAATAGAACGGCGATGATCTAATTTCATTCCTATAGTGAAGATCATGTCATTGCCCCGTCAAGTCGTCGTTCGCTCGCTATTCGACAGGATTACTTTGGATGCCTCTTGGCAACAAAACGTATTCAATCATTGCAGAAGTCGGATGTGCAAGTGAAGCTCAGGTTTGGCTTTACTTTATCCCATCATGTTTATAGAACTTATAGCTTTAACTCCAATGTCTCTGCGCAAGAGAGAGATCGACAGCGTAGAATTGACCAGTTAGAACCGAGGATCGGGTGCCCTGCGAGCGGGAGGCCTATGATGAGGAGAAGAGGTTCAAGCCCATCTTCTTGAATAGCAAGGCATGGTGGAGCTTTGTTTGTTGGTAACTGAGTGACGACCCACAGACGGTGATTTTGCGGGAAGTATATGGAAGTTCATTGCATCCTACGCCATCCTACCTGTGAAGTATTGGAAGAAGGTTGTGAATGTGCCGTCATTTCTTTCCAACTGGACATGGGATCCCTTTTCGAACGGATGGTCTTCCCCTGTCCCATCGACGGTCCGGGTTAAGGGTAGCTATTCGCAGTGCAAACGACACAGCACTGCAGTGAGCAGCCCGGACTCGGGCAGGACAACGACCTTTTCCTTCTGCTGATTGAGAAGGCGCCGGTCAGACGTGAGTTCCGAGTTCCAACGTGGCCGCGGGAAATGCCTGAACTCAGCTTACTCATGCTTACTCACCGGCCTGAAGCCAGTCTATAGTTGCCTCTCCTTCTCCGTGATCGTGGCCGACACACACGCAAAACAAAAACAAACATGTCGTCATTATATATGTTCCTTAAAAATAATGTTGCGAGCAAACTGAGTTGGGTAGACTAAACTCGACGTTATTATAAGTTATTGCAGAAAGTGTTACTTGTACAATGTACATCCTAATTTGTGTTTGTTAAAATTGAATTGTTAAAACAACATATTTTGCAAGTTTGTGTCATTGTTAAGATGAATTCACCTATGGACCGTGGAACATGACTATGGAGGAGTAGGTGACGCAACATCATCAGAGGGCCAAGAGTATTTCTTGATTGTGCAGCACTTCTACTGTGCAACACAGTCTTGATTGTTCACAAGTTAGAACCAAGTGGATGGCGCAATGATGCGCAATGTTTCAATCTTTCAGCAGTTGAGGATCCATAATATGTGGATGTGGCTAGAATGTGACTTTTGGGCAGAGTAGTTGGTGCTCTCCGCAAACTTGAGTTGCACCAAGTATACTTTGAAAGCGGTGTGATTTGGTTTCCTATTATACAAATACACTCTGCAATGTTCACAGCTCGCAACACATGGAACACACTCCTGCGCTGCTGGGACACGACCTGCGCGGCATCCGCGAGGCTTTTGCGAAAGTCTTGGGCGGCTACCACCGCCTCAAGGAGGGCTCCACTGCCTGGGCTTTGAGCGCCATGACCGGCGATCAGACCAGGCCCTGTCGCGCGCGACCGTGAGCGATGGGTTGGATCACTGGAGGACCAGCGATGGGCCCGTTTTGGTCCTTCGAATGCGGGTGGCGGGATCCTGAAGGTCTCTATAAGGGGATGGATCCTAAGGTGGCTGATCATTTGGAGTGGAAGCTTCCGTCCCTTCTTCCCTCACGAACTCGTCAGCAGGCGACAAGACGACTTGGTCGGTCCTTATTGATGAAGGTGAAATGACATATCGACAGGTGGCACATGGTCGCAGTATGTTCAGGGTCTAGGAGTCTAGGATGGTTGAATGATCAGTTCCTTACTGTACTTGGGCAACCTGTAATGTTCATTTTAAATCAAATACAACTCGGTATCCAATGACCATTTGAGAAGACGAAGGTCTGGACAGATCATGTTTCAGCTGGGTGACTGGAGGGTCACACGATTTGCTGAGGATCTGCTTGGATCCATCAGGTCATTTTACTATTATTTGATGATCCAAAATAGAGGTCACTCTGATTCTTGGAGTGTGTGTAATATTGTGAATTTGTATGCATTGGAACATGCATATCATGATATGAGA